CAGTGAGTTTCCTGGCTGTAGGGTGCATGTTTTGCCTTTGGCTTTACAAGAATGGCTCTCCTCGGAGATCTCCTCTTAAGCCTCTCTGGATTTTGCATGGGACTGTTAATGGAGAGAGGAGCGGTCAGGGGGTTTCTTGCCCGTACTCTGTCCTTGTGAGCTAATGTAGTTGGGAAAGGTCCCTGTGCAACCTGCTGGTGAGAAGAGACACTGGGACCTTGTGGACAACCCGTGTGCACAGCAAGGTCTCCACTTGTTACCTGTGCTAGAGTAATGGCAAAGCGTTTGTAGTGTTAGATTTATGTCATTCAAAATAGTTATGAATATCAATGGGGGGAAAAAAACAACACTGCTTATTGTCTCTGTTATCAACAAATCTCCCTTTTCCCTACCAAAAAGCTGTAAGAAGCTATCACCAAATGTATGTTCTCTTTAAAGTAAAAAAACAGCCTCTAGGTGTTGTGTGTTAACACACATAGTAGGAAAAGTCTTAATGTATTGCAATTGGCATAAGTCATCCTGCAGATCTACTGGGGAAGAGAAATGGTTTCCTTAGTAATTATGATTTTTGACTTTCTTGTATGGTATCTGTCATCCCTTGAGGAGTGTTGTTGCCATTCATTGGGGTTTTCAGCTGAAGAATTGCCTTTTTTTGGCTGTTTCCAGGTGTGCACTGTCAATGAGGAATCAAAGCACTCTTCCAAGAGGTTCCAATGCAGTCACTTTTTTGACACTAAGATTCAGTGCTGTACAACTGTTTTTCTTCCTTACCTGTTTAGAATGCTAATTTGAAGTAGGGCTAGATACCTACACTACATGTTGTTTCACATTGTACTCCTTTGTTAGTTCTGGACTCAAGACAGATACGGTGGTGTAGACTGAATGTGAACAATAAATGTACTCTTACAAGCTAATTTTTAGATGGGTTTGTCGCTGGTTTTGAAGATGGCAGACTCTAATGCTGCTTTCCACACACAGAAAAATGTGAAGAGTAAATGGATTCAAAAAGTGCAACAAGTATTATGTGAACTAGAAGTGGCAATATCTTCTGTGCCATGAAGATACACCTTCACATTTGGTTCATCTAAGAAATCCGAGTAATGTAATGGAGCTGTGGGAGAGGATGGAAATTACTCAAAAAAGAAATGTTAAGCCAAAACTGAAATGCCAGTGAAGAGGGTTTTGCTCAGAAAAAAATAATTCAGAATTGAATTTCAAGGTTTATTTGCATAGCTTTGCTTTCATTGAAATAAAATGAAATGTTGCTTGTATTTACCTGTGTTTTCTTCTCTGTTCTCAAAGTCAGGAGTGTAGATTTTTGCCCAGCTCTTAAATTAGTGATGTTACTAATGTTCAAGTTTTAGATTTTTCACCTGAACAAACAAAATTGCTTTCAGCAAAGATAAGTAGTAAGGGTGCCTAAGGCTCATGTCTCGCTGCTTTTCTGTGATTCTCTAGTATTTTCCTGTGTGTGTGATATGGGGGGAAATTCTGTACCTTTCATTGATTATGAATAGCAGCTATTTGGCAGGTACGTTAATGCATGGAAGTATGAACTAATGTGCCTGGAACACTAATGTTTTAATAGGGCACAGTCTTATGGATGCCTAATTGAGATTAAGTATTTACCTATAGGCTTTAAGCATCTTAATTTTATATGTTTTTTTTTTAATCCTGGACTGTTACCAGCTATTCATTAGTGCCTATGACACAATGTCTCTATCTACTCACTTCATTGACATTCTTAAAAATATTGCTATTTTACTGTTTCTAAATGATCATCAGTGTGTGAATCCTACTCTGAGTATCTTCTGTGTAATATAGAAGTTGTTCTGCCCTTGGAGTTAACGCTCAATCCTGCTTTTCAATACATAGATGAGACTGTGGTATTGTTGATGTATCACATAGGTGCAGGTGTAACGAGTGAGAACAGGAGGAGATTGAATAACCTTTGATTCTCAGAAAATTGGACTATAGGCTTTAAGCATCTTAATTTTATATGTTTTTTTAAATCTCTTTAAGCATCTTAATTTTATATGTTTTTTTTTTAATCCTGGACTGTTACCAGCTATTCATTAGTGCCTATGACACAATGTCTCTATCTACTCACTTCATTGACATTCTTAAAAATATTGCCATTTTACTATTTCTAAATGATCATCAGTGTGTGAATCCTACTCTGAGTATCTTCTGTGTAATATAGAAGTTGTTCTGCCCTTGGAGTTAACGCTCAATCCTGCTTTTCAATACATAGATGAGACTGTGGTATTGTTGATGTATCACATAGGTGCAGGTGTAACGAGTGAGAACAGGAGGAGATTGATCCAAATTTCTGAGAATCAAAGGTTATTCAAACTAACATGGAAACCAAAACTGTGGAAGACTCAATAGTTAGCTCACTGGCTTTTGCTAGAGTTTGTGCCAGTGGTACTTTGGGCCAAAAGCAGTAGTTACTGGTTTTACTTGGAGTTACTTGGTTGCTTTGAGTTCTTACTGTGGTCACCTCTCCTTTTTGTGAAAGTGCTGTTTGTATTGTCCTAATCTTACCTGTCTTCACAAAATACTTGCAGTAAATATGAAAAAATGTTATTTACAATTGATTATCTCCATCACAGTATGTCTTGTTTATCTGTTTTGACAATTGTGCTGTTCTACCCAAGGGAAGGGGATTTGGTGTTTGGGTTGCCATGTAAAATGAGGTATTTACTTGGTTGCTTTGAGTTCTTACTGTGGTCATCTCTCCTTTTTGTGAGAAAAAGTGCTGTTTGTATTGCCTAATCTTACCTGTCTTCAGAAAATACTTGCAGTAAATATGAAAAAAATGTTATTTACAATTGATTATCTCCATCACAGTATGTCTTGTTTATCTGTTTTGACAATTGTGCTGTTCTACCCAAGGGAAGGGGATTTGGTGTTTGGGTTGCCATGTAAAATGAGGTATTTTCCAGGTTTGTCCAGAAAAATCTGTTGCTTTGAAATTTGAAGTCAGAGAGTCTGGGCCATGTAAAATGAGGTATTTTCCAGGTTTGTCCAGAAAAATCTGTTGCTGTGAAATTTGAAGTCAGAGGCTGAGCTTTGTCCATGTGTCTCATTGTAAGGAAGCAAGGAATCCACTTTCTGTGGCTAAGGCTTTCGGAAACTCAGAAGGCAGCTTTATGTTTTTCTCTGCCGAGGAGAGGAAAGGAGCCTTCAAGGTTTTTGCAAAGCTGGAAGCAGATCTCAATGTGTGCATCCTTGGATGTTTTGGGATTTCTTCTAATCCTGTGACTTTCTCTTACTGGAAAGTGAAGGCTCTATATCCATGCTCAGTACTTAGACTGTAATTTCTTTGTTTCCTGGTAACTTATTGTTCAAGTTCAAAACTTTAATATTAGACATCTGGCTAATTAATCTTCAAATGCATATGTTGGCTTAGATGTTCACCTTCAAAATAACCATGGAAGGCTGAAAGGTAGTTTCTGAGAACTACAAAAATAACATTTTAATAACTGTTAACAACCTCAAAGCCACTTTTATTATACACAAAATAAATTTTAGGAGTAAATCCATGTCCTATCCATACTACCTTTTACCTTGAAATTTGGTGTTTGAGAGCCTTTATGAGTTGGACTTCATCTACCCACTTGAACCTTAAGGGGGATTTTGTGAAGGTCACTTTTTTGTCTGTTTTTCCTTTGTGCCACCATAGCTGTTTTGCAGAGGACTGGTGGTGGAGAGGAATTGGTGTGGTAGAAGAGATCAATGCTCATGGTTAGGATGCCTGAGGTCCTTAGTCATGGTTGGATGCAGTGGTTATGTAGGGAAGCCTTATTTTCAGGGTAAATGTCATGTAAAGATTACCTCCTTGTGATAAGCAGTGAGGGAAGAGATGATAAAAGTAGCCAATAAAGTAAAAGAACCTTTCTGCTTTTAGCTGTCAAGTAGACTTTTCATTGGAATATTCCCAAATTGGGGTGAGTGTGTGAGAAACGAGGTTGGGTTTGGTTGTGGAGCAGTATACTGGCAAATTAAGAAAAGTAAAAAGAAAAGTGTTATGTGAACAGCGATCTAATGGTCCCTTCATGGCAAGGATGTCTGAAGAAAGTGTCCTGATAACTCTGCTTAAAATTAGTAAAGTTAGAGTTAAAAATGACGGTAAAAAAAAACAATAAACCAATAACTTGTGTATTATTTGGTGTATTTACATTTGTAAATATAACACTCCAGTATTAGTGTGTTGTTACATTTCTAGACTCAGGAGCAAGCGCTGTGATGTATAATATAACCTTGCAGGGCTGTGATTTGTCTGTTGTGAGCGAGAGGTTCCTTGGGGGGCTGTGATTTGTCTGTTGTGAGCGAGAGGTGCGTGTTCCTTCGGGCGCAGGCAGGGCTGGGAGGTTTGGATGCGGCTGCAGCAGCAGAGGGTGGGCAGGGGAAGGGCCAGCAGTAACCCCCGCCGTACGCTTGAGGGCTCTGAAGACTGTGGGGAACGGGGCAAGGAGCCGTTGCAGTTGAAGAATGTATTTTAACTAAATTGGTGCATCATACCTGCGCGGGGTTTAATGCTCGCGGGGCCATTTGGCCATTTGCCATAATTGGCTTTCCATTCCCTTGATTGGAATCATAGATAAAAATTTGCTAATCCACTTTCTTCGCTGAAAGTATTAGAAAAGTAATCCATCTTTTAAAAATGCTCGAACAAAATCATATGGTATAAAGAATACTTTATGGAATAATGAGATTAATGAGAACTGTAAGGCATATGCAATTTAAAACATTTTTCTGTGGTTTTAAGGGGGAAAAATGCAATCTGGGCACTATAAAGCCATAAGTACTTCCTTTTTTATGTGCTGCCTTTTAAATGTGCATTACATGTTATGCTTTTGTCCACATGTTAAAATGTGAGTATATATTTAGGTACAAGGAACTGCTATTTATTTTTATTTTTATTATGTTTGAAAATGTCTGACTCTGAATTCTTGGCTCTGTTCTTTCCTCCCTTTCCCCTCTTCTGCCCACAGGGCATCAGAGCACGAATTTTGGAAACCCTTGTAATGCTTATTCTTCTTGCACTGCTTATCCTTGGCATTGTATGGGTGGCTTCAGCACTCATAGACAATGATGCTGCCAGTATGGAGTCTCTGTATGGTATGAAATTCAAAAAAACACTAGTTTATTTTTTATTATGGAAATAGGAGTCTCTGTATGGTATGAAATTCAAAAAACCACCACACATTTATTTTTGATTATGGAAATGGATGCTTTCAATTAAATGTCTTTCTAGTAAATGCTATGTGAGTATTGCACAGGTTGTGAAGAAGCTGTACTAGTTTAGTCAATGCTATTTTTTCCATTAAATCTATTTTCACCATGTTGAGAAGTTCCATGCTCATGTGGACATGATATAGGTTAAAAACAAGTGACATAAGTGGAGTGGAAGTAAAAGCTGAAGAGATTTTTCAAGCTAAAGTACTTGGGGATTTAGCTGCCTGCAAATTTATTAACTGAGTAGTTCTTAATTTATTCTTGAAAACACAATTGTTCAATGCTGAACAATTCCGGAAAAAAGCTAATTCAGTTGTGTTTGTGACATAAGCAGCCTATTTGTAATAAGCTGAGGCTGTGCTCAATACTTTCTTTACAGACCTCTGGGAATTCTACCTCCCGTATTTATATTCCTGTATATCACTGATGGGATGCTTGTTACTTCTGTGTAAGTATCTTCCTTACTATTCCAAAAGATGAATTTGTTTATGCATTTTTTTTAAAGATTTAAGGAAACTTTTTCATTGTGAAAATTAAGATCGTGAAATCTAAGAGTGTGAAATTTTTTTCATTAAGTTTAAATTTAGGTGTCAAGTTGTTAGTTTTGAACAAATGATACCTTATGTTTTCAAGTTTTGAGAAACTTCACACCTCACCCAAAATAGTTTCAGCTTTTAAATTTTCAAAGCAGGTATTTGAAAAATTGGGACTCCGTTCTGCAAGGAGAATCACAAATTTTAAATGAAATGTATGCAGGAGGTCAGTAGAATGGAGAGAGAGTTATTTTGGAACCCTTAGTTTGTCCTATATTGAATACATGATCCTTCTTCCTTTTTTTAATTGAAAATCTCCTGTATAGACAGAAGCTGGAACACAGTGCAATTAGCTTTCATAATCACCAAACTGGTATCTGGAGGTCAGTTATATGATTGTTTATAAAACAAATGCAGTGAAAACCCCAACCTTATACCTGCTGGTCCCAGCCAGAGATCAGTCATCTGTGTTTAGGGGAATAAGAAAGATGATAAGAAGGCTCCAAATCCCACTTAAAATTGCAGCCTCTCCCCCCTCTAATAACTTCTAGAAAATTGCTGAAAAGGGGGCAGAACATCTCCCTTTCTAGCTGATCATGTTTTCACCTTTCTCCGGGGTTTATAGCTTACAGCTAACCTGGGGCTGTCGCTGTGGAGAAGGGCTGGGGAATGGTAGATTAAACCAAAACTAAGCGGGTCTGCCAACAAAAGGTGCTGCCCACGGAGACCTCGGTGTCTCCTTAGGTTCTCTGTGTGTGGAGATTCTTCAGTCCACTGCAACGGAGGCTGGGGGGGAAGAACAAACCCAAGGGGTTCTGAGTGTCTGATGTAGGCTGTTCAAGAGTGTGTTTCACACCAGTTGCTGCATGTTTTAATGGGGAAATCAGTTCACAGATTTCCTACATCTGTCTCTGTCAGCAGAGCAGAACACACGGAGTGTGCTCTGGGGCTGTTGTAAACCAGTTCACCAACCTAATGGGGATGAAATGCCAATTTTTGGAAGAATTATTTGTAATTTATACAGGCAAATCACTGAAGTTATTTAAGGCCCTCCAGGCTGTAATATCTGTGTAGCTGAAAGGGCAGCGTACTGCATGTGGGGAAGTGGTAGAAGTTGGGGTAGTTTCGTTAGATCTTCAGCTCACCTAATTGCTGACACAGTGTAAGAGTAACCCTTGTTGCAGTGGGGATTTGGAGCATCGCTTTCTTTCCCTCTTCTCCTTTTCCTGCAGGCTTCCTCTGCAGCAGAGGAAAGCTAGCTGAGGTTAGGCTTTTTGGAATCTCTTGTATTTTTCCTGTAATACATAGTAGTCATAGTGAAACACTAGTTAATAAAAAGAAATCTAATCCTCACTATAGAAATCTTGTGAGTTTCTCCCTTTTTGGCAACACTATTATAATGAAAACTATAAATGTATATCCTCATCCATGCTGTAACAAATTCCCTGGTTCATCTTCTACATACTTTGGTATTTGAAGGCTGTTGTCTCTAAACTGTTGATTTTTACTAGTGATTTTCTATTAGCATGGTTTGAGCCTTTCTCCTAAGAAGTATATATGCACCACACCTGCAAACCACCACAGGCTACAATCAAAAAGGGCCAGTTGTTATTTCTTAGAAAAGTAGCTGAGCCTACTGTCAACTGAAGTTGCAGTGTAACTACGAAAGCAAAGCGACTTCATCTCCTGCCCTGTGCTAATAGATGAAATGGCCCTGAGATGTTCTCCAGTGCTGTGTTGTTCCATCCATGCTGCTGCAGTTTGCAGAAGGGGGGCTTTGTAGGTATTGCCTCTTGATAATGGTTCCTGGACTGCTTGAACTCCAGATCTGCACCTGGGAATTGTTTGGGAAAGCGCTGACTGGCCCAGGGCGAATGGTGCCAGGGAGAGTTCTGGCAATTCCCTGGTGTAGACAATCGAGTCTTCACGCCAGGAATGTATCCTGGCACTGCTGAATTTACTAGTGTAGACATAGCCTCTGGTTCCTCATGCTTTGAATAAATAATTACTTGAGCAGGTTTAAGATATCTGATTATATGGTGTTCCTTGTTGACAAAAAAAAAAAATTAGCAGTTATGCTCTTGGAGGGGAGAGGTGCTTGACATTGTTCAAAATTCGTATGATAGGGATGTGTTTTAAAGTTTGTGTTGGGATTTGAAGCTCTTGCAGTTCTCTTCAAAACCATGCTTGGTTATATGTGGAATAGCACATTGAACATCCAAATAAAAATCAATCTTTGACTTAAAAATGACTATTTTGCATAATCTTTCTTCCTCTGCAGTGTGCACGCCAGTGGGACTTTCACGGATGTTTACAGTAATGGGTCAGTTACTGGTGAAGCCAACAGTAAGTGTTACACAATTCTGTCCTCGTGTGCTATCTGTTAGAAGGTAGAATGGCATTAGGGTACTTTCTTTTAGAGTGCTTGCACTTCTACATAGTTCTCTCATCAGAGTTTCTATAGTCAATATTTGTGTAGTCGTTCAAAATTTTTCTTATGGCATAAAAGCCTTTTTTCCACAGAAAAAGCTTTTTTAATAGTATAGACTTCCTCTGATTTTTTCCAATTTATGTCACTGCTATTAACATGAATATTTATTGCCAGTATGTCTGTTTTGTGAATACCTGGAACCATGGGCTTGTTGAATAGTGGAGCAGAGGGCATGAGACTGACTAAGGCTGGATAACAAGAAGGGTCCATGGGGGTGCACGGGGATGGGCGACGTGTAGGTGGTTGGTGTGTGTAAGAGCTGCTTATCCACAGACACTCTGCTGTCCTTGTACTGATGCTGTGAGGGAAGGACAAGTTTGTACAGGTGCTCCAGTGACTCTGCTGTTGTGTTTCCTAAAATTTCCTAAAATTTGGTCTTCCATTCCTGATAATGCAAAGAAAATATATATCTTTTGCTACCTGTAAGCTTTATACTCAAAGCACCTGAAAGGGTGTTAGACAGGCTTCTTTTATTTGGTTTCAGCTTTCAATAGCACTTTATATTTGTTTGAAATAGTGCCTTATATGAAAAGTCACTTTTTAATATACTTTTTCAAAATCTGCACTCATTTTTGTTTAAATCAAATTGAGTGTGATGGTTGATGTGATTTGAATAGGTCAGGTGTACTGTCCCTTTCCCTGTTCCCTAAGTCTCTTTAGATTGAAACAATGTAAGAGCTTTAACCTGAAATGAAAATTTAAGAGCAAGTTTGCTTACAGTAAAGAAATAGGTCTGTAACAGAGTGGAATAATCTTTTGTGGAGTTCTTACTTGTATCAGTATTGTGAAGTTGTAGGCTATATATTTAAAACACAGGTTGCTAGAACAAATTGAACCTGACTAGATCAGTGCAGCCAGAAAAACAAGTGACTCTGATACTCAGTCAATTCCTGTTTGTTTCCAAATACAGATCCTTGAAGATCTAGATGAGCAGATGTACATCATCACTTTAGAGGAAGAAGCAATTCAGAGGAGGCTTAATGGTACGTTTGTTCTCATCCTGCTTCAAATGCAGTATTTGGAGTAGAGTGACTCTGGTCAGGAGTATTGAGCTCACTGTTACATAGCTTCTTCTCTCAAAATACAAAATTTCAACTATGTAACAGGCATTATAGACTTATATTTCATTACTCGCTGTTCAACATTGGTTTGTGTGTGTGTGGTTGCTTTGGCTTTGTTTCTAGCACGTTCATCAGCTCTAATGGGTGAATATACTGAGACTGAGACACCGATTCAGTAGTTGACCAGGCCCACCACTCTTACTGCAAAATAGTTTGGATTGGCTAAATGACTGTATTTTAGCCTTGTCTGAAGAACAATGATTTGCAAGAGGAGCTGTTCGGTGAATTTAATAACTTAAATAATTCTATTAATGGATAATTATACAAATTTTTTAGACTTCTTGTATTTAGTATTAGAATTTTGCACTTTTTGATAAGGAATTTCTGTTTTGAAGTATTTCAAAACCAGTATGAAGCCTTGGATTTCTAGAGAGAGTATTGCAGCGTGGCAGGAACCAGTTTTGGCAAAATGTATAGATTCTATAAACCTGGAAATCCTGTTGTACAAATTATCTTCTGAATTGCTTTTGACTGCATGGATAAGCCATCCATCCACAATTTGTACAACTCCTTCAGGCTGGAAAACTAAAGGATATTCATGTCATGACACATACATTGTTGTGTTGTCATGACTTATTTTAGCCTTGATTTTCTTAATTTCCTGCCTTTCTGTCTTACGTGACAGAAGACTGAAGAGTATCTCAATCTTTTCTTCTTTCAAGTCTCAGTAAGTCTCCTTTCGAAGTTGCTTCGTCAGGGAAAGTACCTTTGATAACAGTAGATCATGGAGGTCATCTTTCTTCCAGCATTTAAAATTGTTGGTAGTGACATTTTTGGGGTAAAGTCATACAGGGTTTCTGTTTAAGAGTAATGTTCACCTTTGCTCTTTTGGAAGCTTAGGTTTTTATACCGACGTGTATTTATATATGCAGTCACATACAGACATGCAAAAAGGTGCACGCAGCGAGTGTCTTTGAAGCTGTGAGGGGGTTTCTAATTGTTGTGTGTGTTTGATGTCAGGTAGCAACTGTAAAATATTTGTTACTGAATACTTTATGTTGTCATGGGGATTGTGCTTGTGTACGAGAAAAGCAATACAGAAAAGTGACCCAGTGGTTGTGCAGGTATCTGTGAGAAGTAGCACAGAGAGGTTCCTGCTATGCAGGTGGAGAATGTGATTATTTAGTTGATGGTTGTTGTTTCTCTAGATAAGTCCATGCAGCAGTTGTTTATATTGCAATTTAGTAATACCACTTGTGAGATGGACCTAGTCTGTAGGCATCTACTCATGGGATCTGGGTTTAGGCCGTGTGCAGGTGGCTCCCCTAACCAGTAGCTGAAACACTGCATTCTCTTGAATACAATTGGTTTATATTCAATGTAAAGGGGAAGTGCAACCCACACGTGGGGCTCAAATGTCCTTTGACAGGAAAGGGGACTGCATTCTTCTGTTTCGTGTGCTGAAGGAATGGTATTGACACCACCATTCGAAGGAATGCTTGAAAACCCATAGTTGGTGTACAGAGAAAATTAATGGACTTAAGCAGAAAAGTAAATATCCAAACTGGAGTATAGCATGTAGGTGGAAGGCAGAATGTTACATGCACGAGAAGATACTCTGCAAGATTTTTGTGGGTAATTATTTAAGTAATTTTAAGTACGGTTCTCATGTGGCAAGTGTGGAAAGTTTCATCTTCTCTGCCACAAGCCTTTCTAATACATACAGATTATGCCAGAAAAATAGATGTGATTTTTGCCAGAACTATGAAGGCTCACGTTTACCATGTTTATTGCATTTTTTAAAAACGTGTACAAATGGAGGTGTGGTGCTAATATTACATCAGTAAATGTAGTGCTTGGTGGTAGAGGCTGTCACCAGTGACCTTGGTAAGTATTTTCCTTGCTGTATTGGAGCAGATGCATTAGGCTGCACACATCCCACACCACTGCTGTCGTGACTCTTCCACAGTTGTGGCAGTGGAAATATGTGTGCTTAAGTAACCCTGCTGGACAGTTTAGCAGTAAAGTGTTCTAAAATACATACTCCATTTATATGTATAACCAAATAATTGAATTTTTTATTAAAAGTTAAGAGGACCAGAGCATAGACTTCAGTGATACTTGACTGTCAGTGCTGGTTTTTCTTTTTCCTTGGTGGAATAATAGCTATGACACTCCTAGCACTGCTTTGCCCTGTCCTAATTAATGTTTCTAAGACAATGCTTGGACACAGGAAGGGTGTAGCATGAATTGCTGTTCCCACTGAATGGTAAAGCCTGTTTTCAGACAAAAAAAGTTTAGCTGTGTGAGCTGGTGCCCTTCCTGATCCGTACACGTGTAGCTGTTGTGGCGGTGATGCGACCGGTAGTATTTTGTAAAGCTCTTCATATTTGAAAATAAATATGCAGTTTCACTGTTCGATCTTCTCTGCGGAAACTAATTTTCTTCCTTCTCAGATGTCTGCAGTGCATAACTGAACATGGGAGGAGGAGGGAGGGGAAAGTTTGATCGTGTTATCTACCCTAGTATTTTTATCTATTGAAGAGATACTGGGCTTTGGGAAAATGTTTGTTTCCAGTGTATTATATTTCAGTACCCACATCACTCCTACAGTCGAAGAATAAAGCTGGGACTTTTTTATATTAAAAGAAAAAAGTTGCCTTCAGCTATTAGTTTTCCTGAATCCAAAGAGACGGGTGGGGTAGGATCAAAAATACTTACTTGATCAAAGTTATTGGCTCTGAAGGTATCCTTACCTATGTAAGAAAGATGAAAGGTGTTGTTTTTATTGCACGCTAGTAACAGTGTAATTTTGAACTAATTGGTGTTGAACTGCCAATCACCTAGGGGGAATGCAAATAGATACTCTTACAATTTCCTTTGAGGTACTGAAATCTTATGTCGGGGCTGGAAGAAAAACAGAATAATACCGTTAAATTGACCTTAAATGAGCTGCTTTGTGGCTTTCTTGGAGAATCCCTTCTAACTTTTCATTGCTAGTCCAAACAAGTCTTGTCTACCAATTTGATTTATTGGCTAGACAGCGCTGACATTGAACTTTGTGCGTGTTTGAAATAAAGCTAATGTTATAGAGCTTTTAAGAATTTAGCTGCATCCTTTTCAAATACTCTTTTGACTGATCTGAAACTCTGCCTTCCCCTCTCGTAAAATATCCTTTTGCACAGCAACCTGTTGTTTGCTACTATTTTTAAGGAGGAACTAGAACAGCACTTAAATAGGATTCAGAATGTCTGCTGAAGGGTCTTTTTGGGACCTAATGTGATCGTGCTGACTTTTTTGGAATGACTCCCGTGAATATCAGTGTTTTGAGTTCTGGATTTTTACGTTGAGGGGAGGAAACAACATATATCTTGAGACCCCTAAGTCAATTATGGAGAAGAAGAAAATGTCAGATGCTGACTTGCCTTTTCTTGCTTTATCAACTCCTTCCACTAAAGTTCTTGAGAACTGTTCCGCTGAGCTCTGTAGCTGGCCTTTTTCTTAACTCATAGTTATTTCCTTTATGGAATGACTAATTGTTTTAAACTTTTTTTTTTTTGCAGAGAATGCATCAGCCCAAACGCTTGTTTTTATAATGCTGATGAGATTTGTCTTTTAAAAAAACCACCCAACTTTTTCTAACCCCCCTCATATTTTGATTACTTATTTAAAAAACACTGAGAAATTAAACTGGCATTTATATTGCCGGCACTTCAAGTGAACAGAAATTGTTACAAAACAGCATTTGTAGGTCTTACTGGTTAGTCCTGGGATTTGAGATATTTATGTATTTGAAGCCAATGTAAATATTACCATATACACATTATATCACTGATACCAAAGATAACCCCCTGTGCTATGCCTGAACATTTATGTGTTATATGCAAAAATACATGATGTAAAAGAAGCAGGTAATTAAACACTTTAAATTTAAATTTTTTGAAACAGCTGGATGCCTCATTGATAATTTGACTGCCTTGAACAAATCAGTATTAATATTTTAAAATAAAGAGAGTAAAGGTTTTTAAAAAAAAAAAGTCCAAGAAATGCTCTTGTATATCTTGGTTTTTAGGTTTTAGGACCTCACTGTGCTGCCTGGATGGGATGAGAAATTTACCTTCTTATCTTGTACTGAGATTGCTGGATGGAGGAGCAGGGAGCAGAAAACAAGGAAATGATGAGCCTGGAACTACAGAGTGGTGTTAGTGCCAGCAGCATAAGTGCTATTTAGTTTTTGTAGGCAAATGATCAAGATATGAGATAAAAGCCTGGACATGACTATTAATCTCATAGAAATTTATTAGAGAGTGTTTAAAAAAAGGTGTCTGGAAGATGGTGATGTTACAGGTTAACCTGCAATGAAAGGTGAGGCCAAGGGCAAGGAATGGCCAACAGGTGAAGAGTGTCAATATGAATCAAGAAAGAAGATAAGAGAGGACTTAGGGTTTATTAAGACCTTGAACTGTCACTGCCACAAAGTGTTTTCTCAGTGAGATTGACCTGGAGTAGGCAGGGAAAATGTGAGGTGAGATTATTTGTAAATGAAAGGGATGAAAGTGGGGCAAGGGTGAGAGCAGGGAGTGTTTCTGACTTATCCTGGGAAACGTGTTCCCAGATTGTGATGGCAAAGAGCAAGAGCTAAGGTAGAATAATGAGATTGGAACTGAAATAGCAGATCTCTCGTTGGCATTTCAGAGCTGTACCACTGTATCATTGCTTGAACATTGTGCAGTGTCTTTGAGGGAACTGGAATCAAGAAGAGCAACCAGAGTGTGTTTGCGCTGGAGAAGATGGGGGCTTGGAAGAGGACAGGAGGTTGAAGAGACAAGGACGCAGGGGGAGAGCGGGCTGGGTTCCCTAGAGCAGGGGTGGGAGGAAGAGTTGCTGAGCAACTTTTAGGGCAGAAAATTAGCAAGGGAGAGAAGAATTAATTTTACAGTTGTCAGTTTTGAGCTGGTGTAGAGGAGAGAGTTTGAGGAGCTGCGCAACAGTGACATGCATGTGCTGGGAGCTGTGAAAATGGGAAGAATAGGGTCTCGTGGGTGATTGTGAGGAAGATCTGAGTGTGGGTGTCAGAAGGAGCTCTGCGGACAGAGCGAAGTGATTGGCAGACTGGTTCCCTAGAGCAGGGGTGGGAGGAAGAGTTGCTGAGCAACTTTTAGGGCAGAAAATTAGCAAGGGAGAGAAGAATTAATTTTACAGTTGTCAGTTTTGAGCTGGTGTAGAGGAGAGAGTTTGAGGAGCTGCGCAACAGTGACATGCATGTGCTGGGAGCTGTGAAAATGGGAAGAATAGGGTCTCGTGGGTGATTGTGAGGAAGATCTGAGTGTAGGTGTCAGAAGGAGCTCTGCGGACAGAGCGAAGTGATTGGCAGAGGGCGAAGTGATACAGGCAGAGGGTTTGTCAACAGTGTGGAAACTGAGTTTGCTGAGTAAAAAGGACTGGGGAAGGGGAGGGAGAGGCAGCAGCTGAAACTGGAAATCCAGCCACCAGCTTGCTTAGTTTGGAGGCCAAGGTCTGCTTTGTCTTCAAGTTGCTGAATAATAATGCCCTTGAAGGGCATCCAGAGATTTTAGATATACGAAATACAGAGATATAAGAATGAGGCATTTAAGCTGCCGCACTGTACCTGGTTTTTGGGCCTGTGCCACAGTTCAGCAGTAGGTGTTCTCTTACTTCTTGCAGTAGCTGGTCAACAGAACAGGCAGGGATTGTAGAAGGTCACACCATGAAACCTCTGTGTCGGACTTCTCTGGTTAGACAGAACTAGAGGGTTCTTGACTAAGCCTCTTCTTGAAAAGTAGTTGAAGAGTCTCAAAAACACACCTGGAGTTTAAAGCCACAAGTGTTAATGTGATGCTTCCTAAATCTGAATTGTCCCAGTGTGTCATCCAGTCCTGTAGTTGGTCTCATTCAAAATAAAATACTGTTTTCTCTTTTTAAAAGGTGTATCTTCCATGGTGGAACAGCAGGCAGTAGAGTTAGAACGGGAGCTTGAAAAAGTGAAAAGCAAGAAAACAAATCTAGGTAATAAATTATTTTTTTTTTCTACTGTTTGATGTGGGTTGCAGTTTAATAAATGACCTTAAGATGCCGTGTTTAGCTTGTAGCAGTCACTTGATTGATTCCAGTTTGTTCTTAACCAAATGTGTGCATTTGCAGTCCTTTCAAATTGTCATAGTTTCTACAGATTCATCACAAGGAATCACGTCTCTAACAAACAAATTTAAGTAGGGAGTCTGGTTTGGAGCTTATTTTTAACATAATTTTAGAGCAAGTGTAAAAGCAGCTTACTTGCATGGAGCTTTTCATATATAATGAAAATATATAAGCACAGGCTTTTCATATATAATGATATGCTTACAATTATTTGGGATAATCTAAGGTGTTACTTTCATCTCTGTTTCTGAATTATTTCTATAGAAGTCAAATTGTGTTTAAGAACAGTAAAATAATTCTTAGCAGCTTTGTGTCTTTTAAAACTGGAAAGTGATACTTTCGGTAATGGCAGGCACTCAGGAGGACTCTTCCTACTTATTCGCAGGCTTGCAGGATTCTTCGTTTATCACCCTGTTATGTGCAAAACTAAGACTGTGGTGAAAAACAGTTGTTGAGTTTTCATTTTAGACACACTAGTGATGTCCAGTGTGTTGGTCTTGCCTTTCTTGCCTTATAAGAAGAAAATACTGTTTAAAGTTGAAATTCCCTCCTGTTCCTTTAGGTCATACTAAAATATTCATGTAAACAGCGTATTTTTAAATTCAGTTTTAAACTTCACAGAACTTCTGTGAAGGGGAAAGAACATGTTATGGTGTGAAACATACCTGTAAACAAGAGAGAAAAATCTACTTCTGTGTTTCTCCCCAGCCTTTCTCTTAAGAGGCTTCATGGCTTTGGAATAGCTTTGTACAGCTCTGCAGGGTGGATATTTTTATGAACTGGTTGGTGTTGGTCCAAGATAAGATTGGTTGTTACCTGTAGTTATAAGGAGCTTATAGATACCTGAATGATTTTTATTTGTTTTATTTTAAGATGATGTATGGTACTAAGCTTCTGTTTTTCTATTCTGAACAGAACGGCGGAAAAAAGCTTCTGCTTGGGAAAGGAATTTAGTCTATCCAGCTGTTATGATATTGCTACTGATCGAGACAGTAAGAATTTGTGCCTTCCCCTTCTCCCCTCCCCAGCAAAGAGTATGAATTCTTTGGTTATTTTTTGGTCATTTGAGTTTCAATATTTTTGAGTGATGTCTTTAAACAATAAACTTCATATTCCTTTCGTAACCATTTTAAAAGAACATTATGAAATCTGGTGAAGATAAATGTATACATTTTTTAAAACATGGAATAATTCTAAATAACAAGGCTGTTTTCTACTTCTTTATAGTCCATCTCAGTCCTCTTAGTTGCTCTCAACATTCTTTACCTGTTGGTTGATGAGACTGCAATGCCAAAGGGATCTGGGGTAAAGTAAACCTCTCTTATGATTTTTATAACTCTAGAAATGTTTTGGAGCCCTTACAAAAGTGCAAGTGAGAACTTCTGCTTTAAGAACATTGAAATTAATGAGCCTCAGCCTTCTAGGTTTTGGTCTTGTGCAGACATAAAGATTTATTATATGTCATGTAATAGTAAGTTCTCAATAAAACTAGTCCAGAACCTTTATGAAGATGCAGTGATTCAGTAAAGTCAGTCAGTTGTCTGGAATTTGCATTTTGCTGATGTCTCCTACTTTTACGTGGTCTAGAAATGTTCGATTCAAGCAACTATGTTAAAAAGCACTATGAAAAGCCTGTCTTCTTACTGTGTTCCTCTTACAAAACATGACAATTTTTCCTCCTTTATGATAAAAATGCTTCAAGAAAGTAAAGAACAGCAGAGTAGTAGTGTCTTTAATTGTGAGGGGTTTTTTCATTAACTTGTTAATGCTTCCTCCTGCGTAGAGGTGTGTATGAGCTCGCAGAGCTCGGAGAGGTTTGGGTGGTGATGGCTGCTCTGCCTGTGGTATTGCAAACAACTAGAAGTGTTTTCCTTTGAGACCTCTTACTTTAGTTCCCCACTAAGGGAGTCTGTATAAAACGCAGCGTGGTGTGCATGGAACAGGAGTGGTGATACCTTCTGTCTCAGCAGCGCCTGGTCTCAGGTTTGGAAGCTGCTGGTGCGACTGTGTAGGGTCGGGGGGACTCATGGGTTAGACCATCAGATGCCCCTTAAATACTGAACTGAGAAGAGGCTGTATTTCATGTAAGATGTTAGGTTTTTTTGGTCCTGGTAGAACTTAACTTTATGAACAATTGCATATATCTTATTAAATGACGCAAAGTGTTTTTCCTCCTTGTAGGGGCCTGGAATAGGAAATGCCTCCCTCTCCACCTTTGGTTTTGTGGGAGCAGCACTTGAAATCATCTTGATTTTGTATCCTTTCTTGAAGAATTCTGTCTGTTAACAAGTATTCTGTCCAGTTTTCTGGGACACTGGTAATTTACTAAGACGCTTGCCCGCAAAGAAGAAAGAGATAGGTCAGTCTTTCTCAAGCACTCGGAGTGTTTTTGTTTTGTTTCTTTGGTTCTTAAGACTTTTAGGACGCTGCTGAGAACTTGAGTGAAACTTGCATTCCTCGGAGGTTCCTTTTTCCTTGATTCTCACAGCTATCTCATGGTGTCCTCTGTCGTCGGCTTCTACAGTCTTCGGTTTTTTGAGAATTTCACTCCCAGGAAGGATGACACAACTATGACAAAGGTGAGGTGAAGGCTGTGACGGTGATGGCCCCCTCCTCTCTTTCTTGCCACCCAAGACAAACCGACTCCTTTAGTTAGTAATTGCCCTGAATGGCTCATTTGCAGTGATCAGTATTTGTTTGTAAGCTGCGTAAACACAAACTGGAAGATTTTCAAAATGCTGAATGAGTGGGAAAAAGGATGTGCTGTGTTTAGTTTGGATGGCATCCATTCACTTGTAAAAAGCCGGGAATAGCAGAGCTTGTTAACCAGCTATAGAAAAGCCAGTGAAAGAACTTTTTTCAAAGGAAACGTATTGCTAATGAGTAACTTTGATTGTGCTAACTGTACTTCAGGGAGCTTGTTTGAAATCTGAAGAACTTGGTTGCTAGAAGTAATACAGAGAAAGTAATTCAAATTTGAATAATTAAACTAAGACTGAGGAGGTCTATTCAGCAACGTTTTGCAGTCTGAGGCTAATTTGACTTTCCACAATTTAGCGCTGGCTTCAGAATAACAAACGCTGGTACCTAATGCAGAGAGAGGAACATGCTCAGGGTTTGGTGAAATATTCCCACAGCTGACAAGGGGAGGTGATCAGTAACCAAGGAACAGATGTTGAATTTAATTATTTTTTTCAATGTGTTTCATTGTTTGGTTATCTTTGTGTTTTATGTGTGTTTTTGTTTTTTGAAGTAATGGATAAAGACATTTTACCATAAATTTTTGCAAGTGAGAAAGTAGGTAAAGGCCTAGGATGGTCATAGTAGATAGATAGTAGGGAGTTGGAATGTTCTTAATGTTTTCTGTTGTTTGTTTACAGTACACCAGGAACAGTGTAGAAATAAATAGTGAATGCACAAATGTCTACCTACTTTGAAGAAGTTTTCTGTTGTTTTCTTTTGGACTTTGATAGAATTAGAGCTGAAGAAAGTGATCCCTTGTGAGAGAAAGTTTCAATTACTCTTTATAAAGGCTTTACAAAAACGAGAGTAAAATCTAACAGCTGTGAATTTTTTCGTACTATTTAAAGTAGTCAACAGGCATTCAATTGAAAGGAAGCTCTTTGTTGTAATTTTTTAAATAATGCTAATCCTGCAAGCAGTTACATACAAAGCTTAAGCTGATGTATCAGTCGTCTGTTCTAAGTCCATGGAATGGTTCTTTTGTAAAAAGTTTGCAGGAATTAAGTAAACAGTCCACACTCTGCAACACGGTAGTTTTGAATTATTTTGAGTCTAAGCATACCTAACACTTGGACTAAAAGCAAATGATTACATATTTGATTTTTTTTAAACTCTTCTCTTGAATCATCATCTTGTGTAATATCATATGGATAAGTGTGACAGATGTAAGCAAGTCTAAATAAAATATGTTGCTGTAAATTACTTTAGGTTCACTATGAAGAAAGTAATTTTCAGGAACTTTTAAATCTTGAGCACTGTTTTTTGGTTGTTTGTTTTTTTTAAGAATCCCATTTCTAATTTAAATGCTGTTTGTCATTTTCAAACAGATCATTGGAAACTGTGTCTCAATCTTGGTGCTAAGCTCTGCGTTGCCAGTGATGTCAAGGACACTGGGTAAGTGAAATGGAAGTATAAAATATTGTAATAAAGGATGTTTAGTTGAGTTTAAGAAAAAAAACCAAACCCACGACAAAACCAAACAGCCTGTAGCTGTACCTTTCATAGGATGCATTTAATTTGCCATCACTTTCAATAGAAAGAGCATGGATGTCTGGTCACCTTTTCTGCACCAACATGAGCGGTGGAATATACATTTTATGTACATAAACTGCAGAACATACATTCTAAAAAAAAGCTAAGAATTTTCTAGAGAACATATTCTTCTAAAAAGGTAGGTCAGATGCTAAACTTCTTAAACCAGGAGATGGTGAGAATAGACATGGAGACTGCTTGTTCAGGGTAGTATAAAATAGTTCCATGTTCACTGTGAAATTAGTGCTCAGTTTTCGTGAAAAAAATACATTTGGAGATTTCAGGTATAAAGTTGGAGGTAATGTTGAGTGCAGATATCTTTAAAAATGGTTAATGACTCTTCATTTAGTAATTTTTTTTATCAGCAATGATATCAGGCTGCTTTCATTTTCCCTAAAATAATCTGCTTGTGTTCAAATATAAAAGTTTTCAAATATAACAATTTGGAATCCAGGATAGTAGAACTGAAGAAGTTCTGATTTTGTTGTTAAGAACTGGCAGTAGCATTTGAGTCGGAAAAACTATTTTAACCAGTTGGAAAGAGAAGATGTTTTGGATCTTCACTTTGTTTAATTAGGAAATCTTCAGCTTGAATTGCTGAGGTGGGATTGCAGAGCCGTTACACGTTGAAGTAGTGCAGAGTATTTGCGGCCAATGGGAATTTCATTGGGAACATCAAACAGAACAAAACAAAAATCTTCACCTCGGGCTGTACAAGTCTTAGGACAAGTTTAGGAGTTTAAGCTGAGGCCCACAGAGCAGTAACCTGTACCCAACAGTTCTGTAGCTGTTGTTCTTTTCAGCCAAAAAACTGTCAAATCAAGAGTAGTTACTGTTTTCCAGCAAACTAGACTGTATTTTCATGCTGTGTGTATCCATAGATGATGAGTTTTATTAGATCACTTCTGTAACAAACAAAACCAACACCTGTAATGCATTTTGGAGGGTTGAATCTTAAGATAGACATTCTAGAGCTTATGTTTTAAAAATCGGTAGTAAAACTTCCCAAAAATGCAAAAGAATAATTCAAGTATTTAAAGTAGTGCAATTTTAAAATATAATGGTATGATAAAGACCGAAGTAAACCAGTTCTAGCACTTAGGAGCAAGATGTTATGTTGAAAAGTTGGTGTGTTAGAATAGAATTTGAACATTAGTATTTTGTCCACTAAGTCACTGCATTCGTCACTTAAAAAAAAAATACAATAAAATCATTGTTAATGATCTGTGAGATTAACAGTTGATACTAAACAGATTCCGTGGAAGCGAGTATACATGCTGGGCGCATTGTCTCATAGGAAACAGATTAATGGTAAAACTCACTTAAAAAAAGACTAACAAATGAAATTCCTGAATAGTTTGCCATAGAGATAAATAAAAGAAGAAAAAAGATGGAACAATTAACACCCAGCTAACAAATGCCCCGTCACAGCTGTCCAAACAGGATTAATAGAGTGTATTAGAGTACAGTGAGTCATGTGGTGCTTTGCAAAAATATCAACATGTGTCGCGCTCCACGCTCCCGCCCTGTGGCACTGAATAGATGAAAAGAAATAAATATGTTAAGCAGATTCATAGTCTTTTCACTTCATTAAAAAAGCAAGTTTCTGGATTACACAGAAGAGACTAGACTTCTTCATTATGGGAAAGGTAAAAAAGCAAAAGTTATCTAATACTGACCCTTTTCAAGTTTTAAAAATGGAAATATGAGAAATTTTCTGTGTGTTTCATAGGTGTTTCATAGCATTCTCATAAGATACAGAGATTTTGGATGTCTCTAACATGTCCTTCTTTTAGAACTCCAGGAAAGTTTTTATTAAACTAAGTTAACTCACCTTTCCAGAATGTTTTAGCCTTGTAACAGTCCTCCTTGGACAAACTTTCCCGCCAGCGCCATACGCCAACCACTGTGAAACAAATTGGGAACAAAGCACTTAATAGCCAGGAATAGGGAAACAAACAGCATTGAGTTTTCTAATGTACAAACATATTTTTAGAATTCTTCCCTTGATTATAATAAAGTAAATAGTGACTTAAAACTTCTTTGTATGTATAGTATAAAAACAGAGTATTTCTTTTTTTTTTTACTCCTGAACAATTCTTTAATATCTGATTTGGTAAACTGTCACCAGTTTTATTGGCTATATGTTTGTGTTCAGTAGTGATGTAGCTTTCTGTTCAGTTACTGAGTAATCTTTCAAATTGCAGTCTTGGGAACTTTTTTTGTGGGCCAAGTAGAATTTTCTGTAAGAAAGTCAGCAAAAGCTTTTTAACCTTTTTCTCCCACAAACTTAAAATCTGACACAGTATCATTTTGGTTTTTTTTTCTGATGAGCAGTGATTTTTTAATTTATTTTTAAGAGGAAAATGAATGTAACTTGTGGACAAGATTTTTCTCCACCTGCTCTAACAGAAGTGTCAGGCTTCATTTTGAGTTTGTCCCCATAAGGCTTGCTCTGTGCCAGCTATTCTTCTGCATCCCTTTGTGGCACGGAGTATTTCTTCCTTTTCCAGAGAACTCTTTACTCCGCGCTCTCGCTGTTTGTTTTATTTCCTTTAAAGGTCTGGAAGCCCATGCGTTGGGACTTGACTTTCTCAATTTCCTTGTAGCTCTGCAGTCCGACCAAAACACTCTCTGCTGCTTTGAAAATATCCTTAAGGACACTGTCTGTTTGGCTTCAAGTGTGAAAGCAGCTCTGTGGTTATTGTCCTTCTCATGTTTGCTGGTTGATTCAGGCAGCTGGTTTCTTCTTGTGTTACCAACTTCTGTGCTTCGTTGGTATCTCTCCCTGCCTCTCTTGCTGTTTTGATCAGCTTCAGTAATTTTTTTCCTTTTTTTTACTTTATCCTTTGAAAATTCTCATTTTCTTTGTTTTGGCATGTTATTCTTAGACGCTACATTAGATTTCCCTATTTTTTTTAACTTTAATTGACTGATTCTAAGCGTGTGTACCTTTTAACACTGTGGCAGCTGGCTGTGAGTCTTGGCTGTCAAGGTACAATGAGATTCCCAAGTGCCAGGTTTACCCTTGAAAGGAAGGAAACTGGCCCTTAAGTCTGTTCTGTCGCTCCTCATTCATTCTCACTGTTGAAGTCACAGTTCGTAAAAGCCCCCAAAACCTTTTAGAATAAGATGATAGAAAACTTGCTTCAGTGGCCTGGGGTGTGCTGTGAAGGAGACCTGTCAGCGCTGTCTTTCAGCCAAACTCTTTCCCCCAGTGGAAACACTCTGTGGCTGCAGTGATGGGTAGGGCTGGGACAAAAAACTGCTGCTGGAAAGATGTGTGAAACTTCCGTTTGAAAAGCAGAGGCTCTGAAAAAAACCACTTACAAAAGCTTAATGTTTGCTGTAAGTTGTTGTGGCTCTCGTGGAAAGGCTTTCTGCTACCTGTTTTTTTGAATAGAGAAGCCATGGTGCGTTTCATCCTTTTCCAGAATAGATAAGGATTTTGTAGAAAATGAGATTTCAAGCAGCTTTCATACCAATACTGATGTTTTTCCTCCTTATATTTATTGAAAGTATACAAGCAGAATTCTCATCTAGAAAAGACGATTTACTTCAGCTCATGTTATTCAACCATTTTACTAGGAAACTTGTGTCTTACAGTTTGAGTAGTCCATGAAGGGGAAAAAGACCTTTAGAATATACAAGCAGAATTCTCATCTAGAAAAGACAGTTTACTTCAGCTCATTTTATTCAACCATTTTACTAGGAAACTTAAGAAACATTTTGATAACTGTGTCTTACAGTTTTAGAGTAGTCCATGAAGGGGAAAAAGACCTCGGGATCATCTTGTGTCTTTAACCATGTGTCTTATAGTGTGTTGTCTGAAAGAATATTGCTTCCATACATAAAAAGAATGAAATTTTTGTGTTTCTTAAATGTAATCAAGGTTTTTGATGTAAATCTTAACTGCAACTTTAATTTAGAACTCCAGGAAAGTTTTTATTAAACTAAGTTAACTCACCTTTCCAGAATGTTTTAGCCTTGTAACAGTCCTCCTTGGACAAACTTTCCCGCCAGCGCCATACGCCAACCACTGTGAAACAAATTGGGAACAAAGCACTTAATAACCAGGAATAGGGAAACAAACAGCATTGAGTTTTCTAATGTACAAACATATTTTTAGAATTCTTCCCTTGATTATAATAAAGTAAATAGTGACTTAAAACTTCTTTGTATGTATAGTATAAAAACAGAGTATTTCTTTTTTTTTTTACTCCTGAACAATTCTTTAATATCTGATTTGGTAAACTGTCACCAGTTTTATTGGCTATATGTTTGTGTTCAGTAGTGATGTAGCTTTCTGTTCAGTTACTGAGTAATCTTTCAAATTGCAGTCTTGGGAACTTTTTTTGTGGGCCAAGTAGAATTTTCTGTAAGAAAGTCAGCAAAAGCTTTTTAACCTTTTTCTCCCACAAACTTAAAATCTGACACAGTATCATTTTGGTTTTTTTTTCTGATGAGCAGTGATTTTTTAATTTATTTTTAAGAGGAAAATGAATGTAACTTGTGGACAAGATTTTTCTCCACCTGCTCTAACAGAAGTGTCAGGCTTCATTTTGAGTTTGTCCCCATAAGGCTTGCTCTGTGCCAGCTATTCTTCTGCATCCCTTTGTGGCACGGAGTATTTCTTCCTTTTCCAGAGAACTCTTTACTCCGCGCTCTCGCTGTTTGTTTTATTTCCTTTAAAGGTCTGGAAGCCCATGCGTTGGGACTTGACTTTCTCAATTTCCTTGTAGCTCTGCAGTCCGACCAAAACACTCTCTGCTGCTTTGAAAATATCCTTAAGGACACTGTCTGTTTGGCTTCAAGTGTGAAAGCAGCTCTGTGGTTATTGTCCTTCTCATGTTTGCTGGTTGATTCAGGCAGCTGGTTTCTTCTTGTGTTACCAACTTCTGTGCTTCGTTGGTATCTCTCCCTGCCTCTCTTGCTGTTTTGATCAGCTTCAGTAATTTTTTTCCTTTTTTTTACTTTATCCTTTGAAAATTCTCATTTTCTTTGTTTTGGCATGTTATTCTTAGACGCTACATTAGATTTCCCTATTTTTTTTAACTTTAATTGACTGATTCTAAGCGTGTGTACCTTTTAACACTGTGGCAGCTGGCTGTGAGTCTTGGCTGTCAAGGTACAATGAGATTCCCAAGTGCCAGGTTTACCCTTGAAAGGAAGGAAACTGGCCCTTAAGTCTGTTCTGTCGCTCCTCATTCATTCTCACTGTTGAAGTCACAGTTCGTAAAAGCCCCCAAAACCTTTTAGAATAAGATGATAGAAAACTTGCTTCAGTGGCCTGGGGTGTGCTGTGAAGGAGACCTGTCAGCGCTGTCTTTCAGCCAAACTCTTTCCCCCAGTGGAAACACTCTGTGGCTGCAGTGATGGGTAGGGCTGGGACAAAAAACTGCTGCTGGAAAGATGTGTGAAACTTCCGTTTGAAAAGCAGAGGCTCTGAAAAAAACCACTTACAAAAGCTTAATGTTTGCTGTAAGTTGTTGTGGCTCTCGTGGAAAGGCTTTCTGCTACCTGTTTTTTTGAATAGAGAAGCCATGGTGCGTTTCATCCTTTTCCAGAATAGATAAGGATTTTGTAGAAAATGAGATTTCAAGCAGCTTTCATACCAATACTGATGTTTTTCCTCCTTATATTTATTGAAAGTATACAAGCAGAATTCTCATCTAGAAAAGACAGTTTACTTCAGCTCATTTTATTCAACCATTTTACTAGGAAACTTAAGAAACATTTTGATAACTGTGTCTTACAGTTTTAGAGTAGTCCATGAAGGGGAAAAAGACCTCGGGATCATCTTGTGTCTTTAACCATGTGTCTTATAGTGTGTTGTCTGAAAGAATATTGCTTCCATACGTAAAAAGTAAAAGAATGAAATTTTTGTGTTTCTTAAATGTAATCAAGGTTTTTCATGTAAATCTTAAATGCAGGAATCACCAGATTTGATCTTCTTGGAGACTTCGGAAGGTTTAACTGGCTGGGAAACTTCTATATCGTATTATCCTACAACTTGCTCTTCGCCATCGTGACGACGTTGTGTCTGGTCAGAAAGTTCACTTCCGCCGTGCGAGAAGAGCTCCTGAAGGCATTGGGTAAGAGAGCACTGACAGTTCCGTTGGTGCTTCAACCTTCCCTTTCTCCAGCCTTGAGACCTTGATGTGCTGCTGCTGAAGTTCTTACAACTCACAGAAACCTTTTCTTGGTGGAAGTTTCTGTGAGTTGAGGCGAGAAGGCATCACTTTGTGTTACTTTGTTCTGGAGAATTGAGAGTGAAGGTACAATGTTAATCATGATACGTCCGTGTCCTTACTGACCCACCGCTAGATTTTCAACCTTTAGAGAGCAGAGAAACACTCCCATTGCTCAGCAGTGATTCCAAAATAAAACTTCAACTTCTGTGTGGGTTGGCCTTTTTTTTTTTTCAAAATAAAACTTCAACTTCTGTGTGGGTTGCCCCTTTTTTTTGTTTGTTTAAAGCAATTTATTAATTCCCTAAAAATAGTTTAGAAGAAGTCTTAGCTGCTTTGTTGTGATGCTTTTTTTTGTTTTTGAGCACCACGTGGTCAGAAAACGTTTGTACAGAACATGCAGGATCCTAGTAAGTGGCTGAGTAAAACCTACACTTGATATAATCAAGATTTTAATCAAATTGTTCACTCATGTTTCTTAGCCATAGAAGAAAGGCTTGAAACATATTTGATACTAAGAGGATAAAATGTATGTATTTAGTAATTGAGTTGTTACTACATCTTATCTTTCCTGATTAAGGAAGCTCCTACCTATTTAGAACCCTAGAGTAGTACTTGCCTAAATTGAGGGGACTAATGGGGACACTTCAGTGTTTACAGTTTTAGCCATAGAAGAAAGGCTTGAAACATATTTGATACTAAGAGGATAAAATGTATGTATTTAGTAATTGAGTTGTTACTACATCTTATCTTTCCTGATTAAGGAAGCTCCTACCTATTTAGAACCCTAGAGTAGTACTTGCCTAACTTGAGGGGACTAATGGGGACACTTCAGTGTTTACAGCTGCGGATTCAGGTTGTGGTGTTGGTTACTGCTGATCAGTGCCTGCCAGGGGTGTGACCGTGGTAAACAAAGTCCAAGCACTTCCTGAAGTGGACTCTGCTGGTGGAGATTACGTTAAAATCAGACCGATTTTAATCAAATAGGGAAGTACAAAATGACTGATAGTGTAGGATTACGATGAGCTATTCTGTGATTTTTAATGTTGAGTTTTGAAGCTCCGGGGAACAGATGAGTGCAGGGGGTGTAAATCTGTCGATTTTTATGCTGAAAATATTTTCAGAGAAGTTCCATTGTTGATTGAGGCAGATGATGCAAGTCTGATGGAGTAGACATTCTCCCCCAGCTTTTTGTTAAGGTCATTTTATGAGAAGATCTTGATTCATCTCTTTAACTTGACTTGCATAATCCTTTTTTTATTTTTTTTTGCAAGTGTTTTGACTGTAAAGGTATTACTTTTCATAACGTAATGGTTGTTGCAGAGCTCTGAAGGAAATAAATTAACACCAGTCTGCATGGGCTCATAGCAACAGGTCTGGTAAAACTAAAGTTTCTGTTTCAAGGCAAATGATGTAAAAATTTATCTTGCTAATTCATGGCACTTTACTGTATTAAACACATAGAGTTTAATAAAAAATTCTATATGTTGAAAGCAGATTAACAAACTTCAAAATGCAGGTGTAGTCACTGGATGGCATCATTCTAGCGGATTTTTTAGGGAGGTTTTTTTTTCCTTTTGCCATCACATATTGTCTGATTTTTGTGTAAATATTGTGATTAAAATGGAGAAGCAAAGTTAATTGGTAAAAGGTTTGCATTTGACACAAAAAGGGAGTTAGAAATCTTGAAGAGCAGAGGTTCCTGACACAACCTGGGTTTGTTTTCAACACCAGCGTCTGTCAAACTGGTGGAAATATTGTGATTAAAATGGAGAAGCAAAGTTAATTGGTAAAAGGTTTGCATTTGACACAAAAAGGGAGTTAGAAATCTTGAAGAGCAGAGGTTCCTGACACAACCTGGGTTTGTTTGCAACACCAGTGTCTGTTGATCTCTTTAACTTGACTTGCATAATCCTTTTTAAAATTTTATTTATTTTGCAAGCGTTTTGACTGTAAAGGTATTACTTTCCATAACGTAACGGCTGTTGCAGAGCTCTGAAGGAAATAAATTAACACCAGTCTGCATGGGCTCATAGCAACAGGTCTGGTAAAACTAAAGTTTCTGTTTCAAGGCAAATGATGTAAAAATTTATCTTGCTAATTCATGGCACTTTACTGTATTAAACACATAGAGTTTAATAAAAAATTCTATATGTTGACATAGCAACAGGTCTGGTAAAACTAAAGTTTGTCTCAAGGCAAATGATGTTAAAATTTATCTTGATAATTCATGGCAACTTTACTGTATTAAACATATAGAATTTAATAAATTCTATATGTTGTAAGCAGATTAACAAACTTCAAAATGCAGGTGTAGTCACTGGATGGCATCATTCTAGCGGATTTTTTAGGGAGGTTTTTTTTTCCTTTTGCCATCACATATTGTCTGATTTTTGTGTAAATATTGTGATTAAAATGGAGAAGCAAAGTTAATTGGTAAAAGGTTTGCATTTGACACAAAAAGGGAGTTAGAAATCTTGAAGAGCAGAGGTTCCTGACACAACCTGGGTTTGTTTGCAACACCAGTGTCTGTTGAAACTCCCAAGAATGGTAACCAAAGCTTGTGTGCTCATTTCTGCCCCATTTTTGTAGGTTGACAGAGTAAAGGATTGTGGGTCTTCCTTGGTTCTTAACATCTAAGTGTGTGATGGTGAAGTCAGGCTGCTCTCACTCCAACATTCATCCTTTGTCATGGGCATTTCTCACTTAAAATGCAACTGAGGGAATTTCACAGTATTAACTCTGTAAGCAGATTAACAAACTTCAAAATGCAGGTGTAGTCACTGGATGGCATCATTCTAGCGGATTTTTTAGGGAGGTTTTTTTTTCCTTTTGCCATCACATATTGTCTGATTTTTGTGTAAATATTGTGATTAAAATGGAGAAGCAAAGTTAATTGGTAAAAGGTTTGCATTTGACACAAAAAGGGAGTTAGAAATCTTGAAGAGCAGAGGTTCCTGACACAACCTGGGTTTGTTTGCAACACCAGTGTCTGTTGAAACTCCCAAGAATGGTAACCAAAGCTTGTGTGCTCATTTCTGCCCCATTTTTGTAGGTTGACAGAGTAAAGGATTGTGGGTCTTCCTTGGTTCTTAACATCTAAGTGTGTGATGGTGAAGTCAGGCTGCTCTCACTCCAACATTCATCCTTTGTCATGGGCATTTCTCACTTAAAATGCAACTGAGGGAATTTCACAGTATTAACTCTGAGCCAGAACTGAATGTCAGTTCGGGCCTTCAGCAAACGGGAAGGCCTGGATCACAAAGTAGAATTTGGTTTGTATGGATTCTTTTGAATACCTGTGTGTGAGAGACGGGGGGAGTCTCAGTTTTTCTGTATTTATTAAACATATAGAATTTAATAAATTCTATATGTTGTAAGCAGATTAACAAACTTCAAAATGCAGGTGTAGTCACTGGATGGCATCATTCTAGCGGATTTTTTAGGGAGGTTTTTTTTTCCTTTTGCCATTGCATATTGTCTGATTTTTGTGTAAATATTGTGATCAAAATGGAGAAACAAAGTTAATTGGTAAAAAGGTTTGCATTTGGCACAAAAAGGGAGTTAGAAATCTTGAAGAGCAGAGGTTCCTGACACAACCTGGGTTTGTTTGCAACACCAGTGTCTGTTGAAACTCCCAAGAATGGTAACCAAAGCTTGTGTGCTCATTTCTGCCCCATTTTTGTAGGTTGACAGAGTAAAGGATTGTGGGTCTTCCTTGGTTCTTAACATCTAAGTGTGTGATGGTGAAGTCAGGCTGCTCTCACTCCAACATTCATCCTTTGTCATGGGCATTTCTCACTTAAAATGCAACTGAGGGAATTTCACAGTATTAACTCTGAGCCAGAACTGAATGTCAGTTCGGGCCTTCAGCAAACGGGAAGGCCTGGATCACAAAGTAGAATTTGGTTTGTGTGGGTTTTTTTTGAATACCTGTGTGTGTGAGACAGGGGGGAGTCTCAGTTTTTCTGTATCGCTTAATGTTTTGCAGGATTAGATAAACTTCATCTGTCGAACAATCCAAGAGACTCGGAGACAAAGCCGTCTGCAAACGGGCATCAGAAAACACTGTGATTAACAATCACCTCCAATCAACAGAGCTGAGAACATCAACCTCATGGCATTCCTGTCATCTCGTTTTTATAATGATTTTTATTTGTTGATAATTTGGGTCCAACCTTGTCTCATTTTTTGATGCTGTGTGCTTCGGAGGAAGTTAGGTATATCCCATTGTTCTCTTTCCAGTGAACTTTTGGTCTGCTTGTTTGTTTCCCAGTGTGTTCATGCAGGAGGTGCCTTGAAGCCTGGAAGCTGAGGAGAATAATGCATTCCTTTTTATTTGTTGACGGTCTCACATCTTCAGATCTACACCTGCTCCCGTTTGAACGCACAGTACCTCCTGTGTCACAGCCACAGCGACACACAACAACTTTGGGACTTGGTTAAAAAAAAAGATACACTTGAAGCCCTATATGACCCTTACTGGAAACGTAAACTACCTGGAGTAGGTGTCCTTGGTGGTAGATAACCAGTTCCACGGGGACTGTGTTAAAAATGGCAGTAACAGGTAGAGATGAGAGCTGGCTCCGTGCTGGAGGCAGCGGGCTGTTGGCAGCGCGATGGCACGAGGCGTTGGCGGAAGCCGGTGTTTTCAGTGTCCTGTTCTCAGCCACAACCACCAGGCTGCGTGACTGGCAGCCAGACAGTGTCTTACTGAATAGAGCAAAGTACAAGATGAAGATTAACTTCAGTGTTAAATCTGAGCCTCGTATGCTTTGTAAAAAGCTGTGTAGACCCCCCCGTCACAGCTCTTACAGTTCTGTAAGCTATTGTGCCACGGAGGTCACTTCCCCTACCGCGTACGTCCCTGTAAAATCCTTTATGAACTACTGTGTATAAGCAGTACTTGTAATCAATGCAAGTAGCACAGGCCGAGGAGGCTGCAATTGCAGTTTTTTTTACATTCTTCTTTAATTTGAAGTAAATTATTTCTCTGAATTTATACTATAGTTACCAGGATTTCTGTTTGGTGGCGTAATCCAGTATCTTTCACTAGCCTGTTTTTTAATGTACACATGAACATGTATATAGGCCTATATGTGTAGATATTATAAATTAAATTCTAAGCTTATAGAGATGACATAGGTGGTTTGGCAAGTAAAACGTGTGTTTTCAATCTTTGTAGTATGAATTTCTGCGCTGTTAAGAGTTTAACTGCTCAGAGGCCTTAGATTCAGGATGGCACAGGTGGGTGGTAACGGCCTTCTCCTCAGCGTTACTGCAGCCTTAGGAGTCCTTTACACAGTTCATAGTAAAGAAAAAAAAACCACCAACAAACCCCCAAGTAAGTATTTGAAATCTGGTCGTGTTTTTGTCCTGCTCTGCCACAAGTGATCTTCAAACAGATGGGAAAGGGGAGACCTTCAGCGTGTTACGAAGTGAGTCAGATGATGTTCCTGTTTGTTTCCAGTTTCTGTACAAGAAGTCTGTCTGTCTGTAGTTCGAGGTCTCACCTGAGATCAGGCAGTGACAGCTAATTAGCTCTCCAGTGTGGTTCCGAAATAAGATAAACCTCGTGTCAGAAACTCTTTGGCTGTTCTCCTGAGGTGCCCGCTCTGGGCTGTAGACCTGCTCTCTCTGTGAATGTCAGCTTTTATTTTTCTTTTTTTTTTTTTTCCTGGAGTGCTTCAAAAATCAACCTTCAGAACTCATGAGGATTTCTTAGTTTCTTTTGCAGCTGCCTCTTCTGACTTGAACTGGGGTGTAATGTAAATACTGCTGGAGTAACTATGATGCTAGGGAGTTACCCTCTTTTTTTTGGTGTGTGATTAGTATAAATTCAGGGTTTATGAAACGTGACTCTTGATGTGTTGTATTGAGTCTTGGAAGACTTCAAGTAAAATTGCTCGATTTCACTAAGATCTACAAGTATCTTTTCTGTTGTTTAATGCTGACATTTTAGTGAGAAATCTTTATATGAGTCCAAGTTCTGCAACCAGGAACAGAGAGCTGTAATTAGAAGTTGTTTTAAAATGTGTTTACATTTAAAATACTGGGAGATTTATTATTAGGGGTATCATTCAGGTATTCTCAGAGCTTGTAGCCTTATGTATTGGCATTAGAGTTAAAAATAACTGAGAAGTATCCACTTTTCCATGCAAGTAATTGTGTGACCAAAATTGTCCTCTTGTCTTAATGTGGCGGGGAATTGCAGCGTGTGAGGCTAATTACCTTTGCTAGAATACTTCTATTGCAGTGTTAGTCATTTAGATACACTCACTCTGTGAATCTGAGGAAATGAATTTAAGGAATCAGCGCAGGGATGTGAGCCAGGACAGGCCTTGCTCTTCGTGCTTTTGGAGAGATGTTTGTCCTGGCACCAGTTGACCCAGGGTCTTAGAAGAAGATGGGTTTATAACGTGTCCATGGCTTCTGAAAGGGAGTCAGGCCATCACTTCAACTGAGCAGAGGCGGTTCCTGCTGATGAGCAGGTGGGTTTCAGGCAGGACTTCACAACTCTCTTTCCAAACCAGTGTTAGAGGCATGACTGGTCCCAGCCTCCTGCAGCCGGGTGCTGGGGTTAAGCTGCCTCGGTGAAGATTTTATGCTGAAACACAGAGGGTGGGGAAAATGCTGTGTGGCTTCTGAGGTGGATGAGAAATTCAGAACTACCCTGTGCAGTCACTGACTGTTCTGGTTCAAAATCAGCTGTTTATATTGTGACACTTGTCCATGTTAAAATACGCTTTGCCTTTGAAAATGACACGCTTACGCAGAACTTCTTTAGAGATACAGTGCTACAGATGTACTCCGTGTAAGATACAGGTCGCTATGTACTTTTCACAGAAACATATGGTCACTTAAATACAAGCAACTGGTAATTCATTAATGGATATTGACGATACATTCCTAGTATTTTGACTCATGTAGAGTCAGGTGGTCTATACCTTCAAGGTATATACAGCTGATCTTAGTAACATTAACATCTGCCTCACTTCTTATGAGGCAAAAAGCACATAAATGCTTCCATCTTCAACTAGATACCACACAAGACCAAAAATTAGATGTAAACTGAGTGTTTTAAGTTAGCCGTTTCTTGGCTTTATTCGGTGTTGGTAGCACAATATTAAATGCAGTGGGAGAACTGTAATATTGTGGGGTTTCTAAGCGTAAAGCACAGATACTTATCACTTTAAGCTAAAAGACAATAGTATTGGTTACTGTACAGGTAACAGGTTTTGCATTCATAGGAAGCTTTGTTTACTGTCTGTAATGTGATGTTTATCTTTGGCCCTGTTCCTCCCCTACCCCTTACCCTGTGACTGTTTTAGTGTCATAGAAATTAAAGGATTTGACAAGTTGTTTTCCTTGTCTGCTTCCCGAGTACCACGGGTGGCACCAGAGGCTGGTGCTGAGGCCGGGAGCTCCACGGGATGGACACACTGGCGGGTGCTGCAGTGAGGCTTTCTCCATGTGTCACCAGGAGTGACCAGTGTGAAGGGGGCTGCAGCCCCCCTCTGTCCCTCCGGGTCTCTCCTGCTCCCCTGTACCTCTCTGCCGCAGCTGATGTCACTTCAGGTGCTCACATGTGCCCACTGCTGCCTAGTTCAGATGAGATGGCCCTTTTCTTAAAGAATTTATGATCTAAATTAGAGACAAATAAGGTAGAAACACAGAGCAATTGGCTGCTTCATGCATCTGACTTTTCTTTGAGTTTTGAGAGAACATTCTAGGTTATTTTCCTTTCTTGTTCTTTTCCTCCTCTTGCAGAAGCGGGATGGGCTCAGGTGATGTACGTGCAACAGCTGAACCTTGTGCTTAGTGGACTGGCACCTACCATTTTGAAATCACAAATACGGGAAGACAGCTAAATCCTGTTATTTTAAAATCAGAGTATATGGAAACCAGCAATTTCTTAAAATTTAGGTAAACTCATTTAAGCAGAAACAGTAGAATAAGGCCATGGCAATAATCTTTTTAAAAAGCAACGTGCTTAGTTTTGTTTAAAAAAGACTTGATGTGAACTGTGAACCTTTAAATGTTTTAGGGAAATAAGATCCACTACCCCCTAGTGTGTGAGTATTTTTGTTATTTTAGTGCTAACTGGAGACAACATTGCAAATACTGATTTCCCTCCCCAGCCCCTGAATTTCAGGCTCTGCAATCTTGAGCTGAATATTGAATGTACTGTTGGTGAACAGGCGGGTTATTTCGGACACATTCACAGTGCTGGAATGTGACAAAAATGCCACTTTGGAATTCATCCCATTCGGGGAGAACAATCAAAGCCAAGGGCCATCACCCAGATGGTGACAACCTCCGTCACCACCTTCTGCCTTGCCCAGTGCCCTCACCTCAGTCAGTCTCTGGCACTGCCACAGGAAGGGGTAGGGGTGATGCTCTGTTTCTGTCCAAGATCAGCCCGAGGTTTGTCCATCTGCCACACGCAGTTCTGCCTGCTGGATTGGGTACTCTCAACTGGGATCACAGACTCCCAGTGTCCCAGGTGATGGCTGTGCATGTTCTGCAACTGTAGCTCTTCACTTCCAGCTCTTGTTTCCTTGGGTCTCAGAAGCCCTTCAGGATTTCCTGGTGGTGAGTTCCTGTGCAGTCTGTTCCGTGTTGGAGTGGCTTCTTGCGCTCTCAAGAATGCAGCACGGTTCTGGATAGACTCTGTCCAGACATTTGGACAGACTGGACAGACATCTGGAGAGGATCTCCTACAAGTTTCACTTCAACAATTAAAACCTGATGATGCCAGTCAGAATCGTAGGAAGGAGAACACACATCTTGTGGGGAATTAATACTACGTGTGACTTCCAGAATCCCCGCTGTGCCCAATAATGGAGCTCACCTCTGCAGACAGTCTGTTTTCAATTCTTTTTTCTAGTTGATCTTTAAAATTCCATATTGCTAAAATTATATTTAAAATCCTTATGTTAATGAAATTCAGGGGCTGATGAAACTTGTTTCTAAATCTGGCGTTAATTCTTGAAGACGTCTAACATCTTGCCCTGCTTTCCTTTTTCATGGTTTCAAGCCATTCTCTACCTTACTCAGTGGCGTTGATGTTAAGAACAGATTCTCTTCTTGATGTAGACAAAATGTGAAAGAACAAGAAGAATCTACATAGATGTGTGAGAACACAAACCAGCAGGAAACTTAAATGGGAAGGTTTTTTGAAATGTTTCACCATTGAAGCACCTCAAACTCTTCTTTCAAAGAGGAAGAAGAAATGTGTATTGTTAGCAAAGGAAAGTTAATTGTATGTTCTCCAAATACACCAGTAATTCACTAGCACTGAAAGGAACTTCCTAAGTTCTTCTAAAAACTGGGTTTGTGTTTCACAGTGCAGTGGTGTCCTTGATTTTAAATTTGTAGAAGCCTGTGGACTTGTGAAGATGGCTCTTACTCCGTTGCAGAAAAGCTGAGGATACTCGTGTGTTCTCTATCACTTACCACATTTTTTGAAGTAACTTTTTCATTTATTGCTCATAGATTATCGTTTTTACATACATAGCATTAAGAGTTTTAACAAATAACAGAAGGTGATTC